AAATCCAAGGTGAGCTGATATCAGCTGCAGTTTCTTTAGGTTCTGTAGTGGAGAGTAACTAATTAGAATAAACTTATTTCAATTGCAGGCTTAATAACAAATGGTAACGGTGTGTGCATCTGTAAGAAATATGCCATGAAGACATAGGGGAGTGAGAGTAAAGTTTCATTCATTCTCAACCTCAGCACTGCACTGAAGTGAGCAGTCACCTTCAAGCTTCAGTCACTTTTCTCTCAGTGAAAGAGCTACTAGTACCAAGTATTATGGCAGAAACATTTTCTGCTAGATAAAATAGTTTCAGAAAACTCAATCATATAAAAACTGCATCTTTACAGTATCACAATTTATAGAATAAAAGATGCATTCAATTTCACAACTACAATTCTGTCACTATCTCTCTTGCACACACACACACATGAAATTCTCCACTTTGATTAAAATGACTTCACAAAATTTTAAACACAATGAAAATTGTAAACCTACAAATGGACTGAAAAATATCAAATGAATACAAATACAAAGAAGACTTACAGATTCTGTATTTTCAATAGCATGTTCTTGTAAAGCAAAGTTCCTTGCTGCATGCATCAATACCTGCAACACAGTTACAGAAGAAATAATAAACACTATGCAGTCAAGATACTAAATTCAAATGGATGCTGTCACGCATGGCATTAAGAACTGTGCCAAATGTACCGAACATGGGCATGCTTACATAATGCCATCCACAAAAGCACATAAACAATTGCAACTGGCTGATGTGGTAAATAAACGAAACATCCTACTTTTCCTGCCACCCACTCACACACTCTATGGTGCTGGAAATTTTTTCAAAAGTCGGTTGTATATTAGGCTTTTCAAAGAATAGCCCACTTTCTTTATGAAACAAGGTTCAACACGTGCCTTTAATCATTCGGTTAATCTTACACGTTTGGTTACTGTGCTTCACGGAATTCAATTCAGTCTGTTGCTGAAGCAGTTATTTTAACGTTGACGGAACGTGTGAATATGTAATTTTAAAGTACTGTACTACTACGCTATTATGTTAAATAACCGATTCGGCGAAGAAACGTTAACCGACATACTTGTCTGTGATTATTTTATGATTAAAGGAATACTAAAGGATAACTAAAGGAATCAAAACATCATGCAAATGTAAGCGAGCTCTTTACCTAAGTAGCAGGTCCAGTAATAACCAACTATTGAAGCAACACTATAGAAAATATTGCAAAATTTTATCTCAAGTCATTAAAGAAGCTAAACGCATGCATTACAATAAATTGATAGTAGAGTCTGAAAATAAACTACACAAGATATAAATCCTCTAATATTAGACTTAACTGTAATATCCTAACATCTGACTAGTGGAAATTGAAAAACCACGAAACTCACAAGTCGAAATGTCATTCGGTGATATTCTTGAAATAAAAAATATGAATTACTATACGCCCACCTCATTTGACCTTGCTCCACGTTGTATTTGCCTCGCCACTGACGCTATGTTATTGACATTCACTTGTACTCGATCTGCAAGCCGTAATTTCGAATCTACAAACAGACTTCTAGCACTGGTACTTGAAGCAGACGCCATAATGCAAACCACAGATAACACATACCTGCGAACTATTAAAGTGTGACTCATCGTGTTATAGATGGCTGATGCAAGATACAGGTGCCACATACTACATACCAGACATTGGTATAAAATGTGAATTCGAAGCATGATTAAGAGCACTGACAAGTTAAGGATGTAGAACATGTCATCGAAGAAAAACTATATAGCATTATGCAATCAAAGTGTTTTTCATTCCGCTTGTAAATGGTTTCACCTACGTCTTGCTGTCACGGTTTCCAAAGAAAAATATTCTCCAAGACAGGAGCGAACGAGGCGTCTTGCATTTGTGCACTCAATAGTTATGAATTCAAAGCATTTCACATCCTTTAATACGTACGCCAAATCAATGCCATTGCCAATGGTTTTCTTCAGGATTAAATCACATACCAAAGAACATTTTCGCATTATTTTTTTATTGCAGTGTAATGTCAATCCCATAATATAACCACCAAAGATTTAATTAGAATTTATTACCTCATATTGAAGTAACAAATCGCAAAATTTCTTGGAGCCTGATTCAAGTTTTCTTAAGTTATGCATGTTTCTTCTTATTAACAATTTCAAGGGGTGAGGCCTCATGCTTCGGACCGGCGATACGGAATTCGCGCTGGTTCGAGTCTCGGGGAGAAGAAATTTTCTCATGACCTTTCGACCAGTGTATGGGACCGGTGCCAACCCGGCATCGTGAGGAAAATGGGGGAGCTACAATGAGTAGCGTAATCCGGTCAGGAAAGCTAGCAATGGCTGGGGGTTCGTCGTGCTGACCACACGTCATCCTATATCTGGTTGGATGATCGTTCACCTGTGCTTAGGCATGTGAACGTGAGGCCAGCAGTCTAAGTTAGTCGCCTTTGGCTCTCTGGAGCTGTTACGCCACGGATTTAATTTAATTTAATTTTAGTTTCAAATCACAACAGTTTCTTTGAAGTCAGGATTCCCTAAGTTCTGTATGTTTTTCTCAGCCACCACTATTTCATGGAGTACCTTTTAAGTTGGTATTTCATAAGTCTGTACTGTACTGTAAGTCTGTACTGATTTCTTCGGACACTCACAGGTCAAATTTCTCTTAGTTGTACTGCTTTTGTAAAAACAATTCTCATTTCCAATCATTTATATCTTGTGAGTACACTAGATCTACATATTTCTTAAAGACATTTCGATTTGTGGTAAAGATTACTTCTGTTTACTCATACTTGCTACATACATTTATGGTGGCATGTAATGACTTTCAGCCACTTGATATTTTTAACACTATTCTGTCTAATAAAGTAACTTAGAGATAAAATGCCCAGCACTATTTTATCACCACGAGAGGCTTCATTCAAGAAACACCAACATGTAGAACTGATACCAGTGTCATTCATTATTAAAACATTACACTGAAGTTTCAAAACCAGTTTAATTTTGATTTGTATGGGTCAGTACAGTCCTTACTTTACAGGAATACCAAACTGAATTTTTCTGGGCTTCTCTGAATTGGTTCATTATTTAAAAAAGACAAGATATGAAAATATATAGTCATGAGGATCTATATAACCTGTGCGTTATTTGAGGTTCTTGCTGTGGTGTAGATGTCAGTGTTGGTCTTCTCAGTTGTTAATGCTGTATGGACTTTTAGATAGCACTAAGGTTCAGAGTAATATACTGTCTCCATCTTCAGGTTAAGTCACTATTTGGCTGTCATTTGTTAATTTCTCTTTCCATTGGTTGATGTGTCATTTTTGTATACCATTTAGTCTGTCAAATAAGTATTTAAAACCACTCTGATCATTTATGTTCACCCTGCATATATATATTTATTTATATTCATTTTGGTAACTGAACTGGCTCTTCTTTAATTTGGCAACAGTTTTTCTTTCTTTTTTTGATGTTCTGTGAATATTTGACCCATTCTATGGCCATTTCTGCCTTTCTTTAGGATTCAGACTTGCATCCATTGTTCTTAAATAAACCTGCATGTGACTCACATTTTATATTTTAATTGGATTATTTATATATTTAGATTTAGATACTTGTGCTTATATGTAGGTGTATATTCAGGTACTGTGACATTGTTACAAAATAGTACGATACTAAGACACAAAAGCAATCAGAAACAAATACTAGCTTGTCAAGGAGGACTCTGCACTTGGGTTACTTAGTTATAGAAATAATCACTTTTGTTGAATCATTACAAAATACGATCTCTTACCAACAGAAGGACAACAAGAAAGTTCACAATTTCAACAGATCACATAATAATACATAACACACATTTAAGAAATTTATGATAGGCCAGACATGTATATATAATTCTGACTGAGAAATAAATCTAATGGAATAGAGAGGAAATGGGAGTACAGCAGTTTCTCTAAAAACATGGTAGTTGCATTTCTGGAAAAACATTGTAGAAACTTTTGGTTTGACTGGAATCAAAGGGTTTGTGGTCGAAAATTTGGATTCACCTTCACAAGTGTAATTTTTCTTTGGTAGTTAGTCATATTATTAATTTGAATGTATTATTTTTGAACAAGTTTTCATGCATTTATGGATTACTTCCCTGAATTTCTTTATTTTAGATCATGTTACACCCAGTATGCACCTGAACTGTGGAAATAACTTCATCTTAGCATGTTCATATCCAACATTTTGGAGACGTCATACATTGATCCTGCTCACAGATGCAGAGACTGTCTGTGAAACACTGGATATGTAAGTGTAAGTGTATACTACAGGCTCACATGGCATGCCACCCAAAAAGACAGTAAATGATACTGCAAAGAAATCAAAGTGCATCACTGTGGTGATTGATTTTTTCTTTTGTATGCACGATATATTTAAATTTAACAAACATTTACACCAGTACTTAAGTACAAAGTTTTGTTCTGATTAGAAATCATAAAATAAGCTAACCCTGACATAGTAGTATATAAACCTGAGACTCCATTTCTACATTAAATATTCATAGAAAATTACATAGCATAATGATGAAGAATAATGCACTGTGAATTTACATTGCTTCAAATGTAAAGAAATTATTTTATAATTTTTCTAAAAGAGACTACAAACATTGCACACTGAAGAGCTGCAATCAAAGCATTATAAAATGCAAAGTAATCAAACCCCTGTAAAAGTTCTTGACTTGTTGAAACCGAGTAAGCACACACAATGAATTAATGGTATTCAATGACAAACACTCAACAAATATAAGTGAAGGACATTTCTTCACAATTTCCTTCTCTTGAAAATGAAACAAGTTACACTAATAAAATAATAATGGACAGCTGTATTAACTGAACCCACAGCCTCCCAAATACGAATCTGATGTGCTAACCACTCAGTTGTAATGTTCAGTACGTAGCAGTCTACAATGGTAGTGCTTGGTAAGAAGGTCTTACACCAATAAAAACTGTATATAACTCAACCCCTTGTTATCAGACATCAACAATACAATTCATCAATCATCCAGAGCTGCTAACTTCGTATGAACAACTTGAAAAAAAGAAAATAGTATAGAGATAGATGTTTCGTATATATGTGGTTGAATTGTAACTGACAAAATTTAATCATTATAACACCAACAAATACAGTGACAACACTGGTTAGATTGATTTTGTATAACATGTCCATTTTTTTGACTTGCTACATATAGTTACCATCTGGTAATAGGCTTAGAAAAATTACAGCAATAATAGTGGGAAACAGATGTTACATTCCTAAACAATTTACATTAAAGGGTTAATTCAAACAAAAACTAAAGCTGCAGTGGCAATTGTTGCATATACAGAATATCTGGGTGTCACACTAAATGGGTAAAAATTTGTAAAAGCAGCATCTTCTTTTAATAGGAATGAGAGAGAATTTAATACAAATGATAATTCACAAGAAAAGTAATAATAACTTTAACATGTTTACAAGGATAAGTATTCATAAAAGACCTACAAAATAGTAATTGGAACACTGCTGGTGTTTTGATGTAGTGTGAAGGGCATGCACAAAAGAGTGACATTAAGAACTTCTTAGCCAGTGAATGCATTATGTTAGTTGAGGAACTTGAATGTGCTGCTCAAAGTATATATTAACAATGTTCAATAATGTCATATGAACATTTATGAAAAGTTGATCACTTGTTTTAGCAGCTAACTTGAGACATAACCCACATATAATACAAAAGTAGTCTCAAGCATTCAGATCTTGAGACTGAATACCATGCTAAGGAACTGTTCATAATGAATGGTTATAACTCCATCTTGATCGGTGTCATACTGCCGGAATGCTGAGGTCAATGTCTGCAACAAAGAGTGAAGCAGGCTGTTAACCATTTAACCTTTAGCATCCTCTTATTGTCTTATATGCAGTTCAGCTTCATGTGTGTCACACTAACATACTGCTAAACAGTTAACCATGATGTTAAACCCAGTTAGCAGGTCCATAGCACAGGGGTTTAAATTTCTTTTTTCCAACTGGTAAAGGTTAATGAATATAAACATACACATTATAAGTCATCTGTTGTAGCTAGAACTCTGGGTCTGGATGAACAGAAGCCTCCACTCACAGTTTCACTGTCAGAAGGACAGCACTTCTGAGTATCTTACTTGCCTCATTACCGTTAAAATCTATGATTTATGTATCATTGAAAAGCTTTTCAACTTTTTATAGGAACACTGTTTCATACTGTCTATTGTCTGATGTATGTAAGATAAATATAGCATTTCAGGAATTGGCTCTACACCCACCTTCAGGTGACTGGTTGTCATGATAACATCGGATTGGTTAACATCGACCAGACTACACAGCGCAACAACCCAGAAGACGGAAATCTTCATACTCACCGCTGTGAGAACCTCAAGCCTTACATGATAATAACACATTTCTTTCCTATTATTAATGATAATGATTGTGTCAAACCTTCTGAAAAGGTCCCAGGTTTGATTCCACCTGTTGTCACTAATAACAGGGGGAAAAAGGGTCAATATCATAACCAGTAACCTGAAGAATGGAGTACAGCCAACTTCTGACACATCTTGTATATAATATACCTCAGAAAATGGACAATGTCCAACATAGTCTTCCTATAATGAATCAACCATTGTCACAGACCTTTAAAGAATCATAAACTTTTGCAGTAAATGTTCTCCGTCATACTTTTCTGCAACTGTGCACTTTATACAAATCTATATGGAGAGAATTCTGAATGACATGAGAGGAAAAAATAAAAAAATACACAGCCAAAGTATTTTGTCACATGTGTTCACATATGAATAGTAGGTGTTTCATGTAGATGTATGATAGAGAGGCTTGGTTGTCAGACAACCCACATAAAATTGAAAGTCTTAGGAAGAAGAAAAAATATGTGTTTTATATGGCTAATATAAGAAAAATATTGTTAACCTTATCCTACATTCTTACCAACTATTCACCTTAATTCAGTGCTAGGATTAAGAATGAGAGCGTTGTATTTGTTCTCCCAAATGTCATCATAGTGTGCTGCTTAGGCACAGCAATAACTTCACCTTCACATTTACCATTATCAAATACATATCTTACCCACACCCTCACTTAGACTTCAGGATTATATACAGTGGAATCCATGTTAAATGCATGTTACTTTAAAGATATTATTTTAGTAAGCACAATTTTAAATATGGAGTAAATATAATGCAAGATTTTAATGTGATATAACCAACTTACATAGAGCACAATGCAACACTGAATAAAGTCATCAAAGAAAATGATGCCTCTTCCAGACCGATCATGTTTCCGGACAATCATATCAATGGTACTCTCACTGAGTCGGTAGCCAAATGTGATTAGTGCAGTCTTAAGTTCATTGCGATCAATGTTGCCCGAGTTGTCACGATCAAATGAACGAAAGCAGCCTTGCCAGTCTGTGACATATTTCCACAATGCACCAAAATCTTCAAAGCTCACTGTTCCTCTGTTCTGCTTGTCAAACATTCCTGAAATCCACACAAAAGATTGAACTAAGCACATTAATATTAAATAACACTATCTGCACTAACTGTAAGTGATAATGCAACATTGGTTAGCATATTCAGAACTGGCTGCAAAGTCATTGGATTACATCTTACTATTTCGTCAATGCAGTAAGTTTTAGAAACCTAATTTTTGACATGCATATCTTGAAATAGTGATCCTGTTCTTTATATGTTACACAAAATGTTCTCTGTCAGTACCACAATGTGAGAGTCATCTACTGCTTGGTACTTTACTTTCCAGCCCTGCAATAAATTTCCTCTACATAATGTGATTTACATAGCATGCCTGCTCAGGACACTCAATATGAGTATTTCCAGACAGAATTCATAAAGCCTTCTTTCCTCACAGCACTTTTAACTGGTACAAAGGCACCTTCCACATACAATGATATTTCTACCTTAAATGAATTAACAGTAAATATGTCTAATCAATTGGAATGAAATAAAAGAAATTTTAGTGACATGCTTAGACTGAAGTAGTAATCTATAAGGCTCATAAATATCAACAGTTTGAAAGGCAGTAAACTGCATGACATGAGATATTTAAGAATACAAAACTAGGAACAGATAAAACATTTTCCTTTCTGTAGTTTTGATTTACTCCCCTAAAATTAATACCAACACAGAACTAAACTATTAAAGGTGTATTTTCAGATGGCTGTCTTCTGGGTTGTTGCACCATGTAGAAGTTTACCGACATTTCAGAGGTCCTTGCTGCCCTGATGATGGAGGCAACAAGGCCCTCTGAAACGTCAGTAACTTCTCCCAGACTACACAGTGCAACAATCCTGAAGACAGCCATCTTCAGACTGACCACAGTGAAAACCTCAAATCCTACAAAAGTATATTTCTGTATGGAGCAGAACTCATAACCCCTATTAATTTAATTTACATATGAAATTAAATTTGAGAGAAGGATGTCAGATATCTTGTACGGAGTCAATAAGAGTGATATTCCTTAATAATTACTATATTACCCCATTTATAAATTCCTTACATTGTTCTGGCAGTTGTTTCTTATTCCAAATGATATGTTTGTGTATCTCACAATATTTTGCCAGAATTTAATCAAGCTGTATCAACTTATACCTTTTCAATGTTTCAACAGAAAATTCGGTGTAAAATACAAAAGCTAGGCAATGTTTCTCACCTGTATGTATTTCATTCTCAGATCATAACCCCATTAACATTTAACAGCAGACTGAAGCAATTTTTCACATATTCAAAACAATATGGGAATCTGCAAGTAGATTACCATTCTTGTCTTTTGCCAAGTTAATTTTAGGTTAGCAAACTCTCTTAAATTCATCAATGTCCCTAATAAGTCTAATATAGCAACACATGCAAAATTAAATATTTAGTAAAATTGCTCAGTCCATCATACAATAAGAGAATTAAAACTAAATTAAAATAAACTAGACTAGACTATCTGAAGCTAACGTGATGTTATCAGAGATAAGCATACCAATCAGATTATTACATTTTAAGAGTTTAATACAAGAGTTTAACACATCAATTTTATAAAATAATGTCTGACATTGTGTCCAAGTAGCTTCAGTTTTGTGAAAAGGTGCAGGAGAGGATAAAAATTCCACACTTCACTCACATATTTTTAAACTGTAATGAAATATTTACCAATCATAAGCCGAACTGTCTCTGGATTAAATGGAGTCCATGACCCATTTGACAGTGCCACCTGCAATTCTTCAGCTGAAATATAACCACTCCTATCCCTGTCAACTCTGGAAAGAAACAATCATACTGATTATCCATGATGACGCACAATAGTTTCTGGGGTCACTTTATGACTAAAGCTGTGATAACAGGCTAACCTGAATGGAGCTAGTGTTCTCTTCTGCTAGTATTACCATTTTACTATATATTTTGTCTAAATATCTGTCACTTTACCTAGCCTAACAATAGCTTGCCTAACCTAAGGCGATATAATTTTAATTACTGGCATGCCCACAGATAGAGGGGAAACCTCCTGTTGCACTATCTCTAGTATTTTTCGTGGGTTTCCTCAGTCCCTCCGGGAAGAAGGCTGGAAAGCACCTTTAATTAGGCCACGACTGCTTCCTTCCATACAATCCCAAAACATATTAATTAATCATCCTACTGACAGCGGTCGCCAAATAAACCATAAATAAACGATTAAGTAAGGAACAATACATCAGCTGACGACCACTGTCGAGTTTTAAGCGCTGCCAACCTCACAGTAGCCGCTATGCTACGTACAGCTGAAGTTTTTATATCGTCTATAATAATTCCTCCGCGTCAAATTGATGTTCGCGTTATCCAGATTTTCCAAAGCATATTTCTAACAGGTAACAGTTTTTTGGAAATACTGCCGTTAATATATGCTTGTCTGTGATTAAATTGTAGACATAGTTGCAATATTCTTTCCGGCGATTTAGTACGGAATAACCAAATTATTGTGACCTTTATGGAATTCCTTTACCTTGAAAATACATCCCACAAAAACTCTCGACTTGGCATTGGCGATGAAAAATGAGCCATGTTTTAACAGAGTTGCCTTAATCACACGACACAGTCTGATTTCTATAATTAAACTGACTTGTCACTGCTCACACCTATTGCATACACTTCCGCTATTCACTCTCTCACTGAAGGACACATGTTGCTGAGATTACAAGCAATACAGCCAACATAACAATTACAAAGTTCACAAGCCCACACAACTGCACAGGGAAAGTAGAAGGAAATTTGTTTGTAATAGCTTCAAGTACTAGCCTCAAGGAAACAACAATCTTTATCTTTTCACATGTAAACTACTTGCTGGCTTTTACTATATTGGCTTCAAGCACTTGCTTCCAATAAACTTTCCCAATGCAAATTAGTATTTGAATGGCGTAACAGGTAGCCAAAGATAAGAAGGAAATTAATGTAGTGACTCAGCATAGTGAAACAATAATAACGGGTAAACATATGAACTAATACATGGTAGAAGATGGTTATCTTCTGGGTTGTTGCGCCGTGTAGTCAGGTAGAAGTTTACCATCATTAGAGCGATCATCACCCTGATGATGGAGGCAAGGACCTGTGGAATGTCGGTGAACTTCTACCAGACTACACAGAGCAACAGCCCAAGAGACAGCATCTTCAGACTCACCGCTGTGGAAACCTCTAATGGTACTTAATAGATGGCAGTTAAGTATACAGTCAAACATATGGTCGACTATGGTGGACTCGGAAAAAGCGAACATCACGTAGCGGTACAGGATCCTCGAATCGCTGTGATCGCAACTAATCGATTAAAAGAAAAATATATTTCAGCACTACTGAGTCGAAAATGTTTTAATGCCGTCTTATCTACCTCGTTTCAGCATTTTAACAGTTTTCTCTGATTCGGAGTAAAAATATTTTCCAAACGAGATCTTTGCGCTTTCAAATTTCTCATTAGACCAGACAAATTCTGAGTTTTTGACATGATTGACCATAAATGTTACAAATTGCAGCGACATCAGCTGCATTCCAAGCATAATATATTTCTTTGTGACCCATTTTGTTCAATATATAGGCATACATCATGCCGGAAAGTGTGATCCTATGTTAGTTAAGTGGATTCATTGTCCCTTGAAGCAATCTCAGGTTGCGAATGGAGGAGACGGCATCTAAATACGGAGTGTAGCTCCAAATATATTTAATAAGCATAAGAAGACAATCGACAAGGAGTGGTCCTTCAGCTTTTGATTTGGGCAGGGGACAGCTCCTCACCGTAAAATATAAGCATGATACTACGGCTCCGAGCTTGGACTGAGTCATTGGAATGACCTAAGCAACGGAAAACGGACATTGCGGCACTGCCTTGGAACATACACAAATTCCACTTGTTACATTTTGTGAATGTTGTGTGCACTTTGCGCAAAATGCCGCCCAAACAAGCTTTTTAGTTGGCGCCAGTTCAACCCTGAAGTTGGAAACGGTGGCTATTCGAAATGTTGGTGTCTACCTGCGAGTTCACACGGCGTTACAACCCCAGAAGAACAATATCGCCATTGCTGGTTATGATCCAGATTTTATCATTTTATTTATTTTATTCAAGAAGAATGGCGTAATATGAGGATGGAGAAAATTACATCATGCGGAGCTTCGTAATTCGTATTCTTCGATGAATATTATTAGCATGACCAAATAAAAGAGGATCAGGTGGGCAGGCCATATTACATGCATGCGGAAGTTGATAAATGCGTACAGCTTTTTGTTTAAAAAAAGCCTGAAGGAAAGAGACAGTTGGAAGACCCAGGCGTAGATGGGAGAACAGCGTCATAATGGAGACATCAAGAAACTGGGGTAGAGGGTGTGATGGATTCACGTAACTTAGGAAAGAGACCGATGGTGTGCTCTTGTGAATACGGTAATAAACATTTTTGTTCCATAAAAGGAGGAGAATTTCTTGGCTAGCTTCTCAAGGACTCTGCTACACGAAATTAGTTCATGCTAGGGATTTTATAAAAGCAAAGTCTGCATGAGGGTCAACATTGCACTGTGTACTTCACAGGCACGAACATTTTAGATACGCGACGAACAGGCAGAAACGATCTGCCATTGTTATTATTATTCTTCTTTTATACATTTTGTTCACAAATTTAGCTTCATGCTAGAAGTTCATATTTCAACTACGAGATGGCAGGGAATTCTCCTTTAATTTAAGTGTTGCCTGAGAGAGGGCGAGAGATGTTTTAGATTTGTACCACATATTTTCTGGATTTACTACGTGCTGAATAATACTTTAAGAGCTATTCCTCGGTAATAATGGTTTTAAAGTACAATAAGCAAAGCTGATAATATTAAGACCAATTACAAAGGCCGCTCAGTTTAAAGTGTAGGTCTTGACTGAAGGAACACCGGGATCGCAAATTCGAGCGGATTTTTTCAGCGTTTCTCTGTAAGGATCTTATGTCAAGCTGATCCCAGATCCAAAATGTCCTAGCATATGACTGAATGGATTAATAATTTTAGAAAGAATTTTGTTTTGGAATAAACCAGTTGGAAAAATCCGTAAACGGCGAAGAATTACAGTCTATTAGTAAGAATATTGTAACGTGTTGTCGTGAGAGCAGCACAACAATGTCAATAAACAGTTTAATTGTCTGTTTATTGACATTGTTGCGTCTGGCATTGTTGTCTGTTTATTAACATTATTGGGTTTGGCATTGTCGTATTCGGTATTGTTGTCTATTTATAGACATTGTTGTATTTTTATAGACATTGTTGCTTTTGGTATTGTTGTATTTGTTTATAGCCATTGTTGCGTTAGACATTATTGTGTCTGGCATTGTTGTGTCTGTTTAATGACATTGTTGTATTCATTTAGCGTGAGGTTGTATTGTGAGGAGACTGTTGGACGTTGTATTGCTGAAGAGTGTTGAGGAGAGTGTGAGTCAGGTTGTAGAAGTGAGTTGCAAGCGATATGCTGTTGCGGACATTGGTGGAGTCGAGTGAGTGGTGGTGTGGCGCCGAGTAAGGACTGGTCGGCTACGTGTGGGAGCACCGGGTAGTGGACCGTGGCGGCCGAGGAGCCAGCGAGTGTCCAGTGGGGTGCTACGGGCCGATGTGTAAGCGAAGAGTGTGAAGAGCGCCGAACTCGAGGGACCAGATAGACACGGAGGACAGAGTGTGTGTGCAGAGAACAGAGACACGAAGTGTGTTGTTGTTTTTGTAGAGAGTTGACTGTATGTGCAGACCTCTGTAACTGATTTAATTTGACGTGAATAAATCAGGGTTGACAATCCAGGTCGCAACGCCGACCCACGTTACAATATCTTATGAGTTTATTTGTTCATTAATCTCTGTCGAGTATTTAAACTCCTGGGCACTGGTTGGCTGGTTAATGACGTGTCTATTTATCGTTTAATATCTTACGGTACACATACATACATACATACATACATACATGATCATACTTCATTACTATTTTAATTTGTATAATTTTGTGTGACATGCATTGTATTTAATAAATAACCAAGAGACTGGTAACATTGCAGGCACTCGAAATACACAGAAAGAGTGACTGCCAAATTCAACATCATGGTTACAATCAACTATACTGAAAAAGAGCAGTATGATAAAGCATGAACAAATATGAAAAAGTTAAGTATCGCAGGTCGATGAGACTTAAAGACCGAACTGAACAAGACCTTTCTGTCATTACCTCACTTTATGAACGATTGTTAGATAATGAAAATGCGTTTGAATTTAAAATGTTTCTGTGTGAACGGACAAAGTACAATACACCCTATTCATACCTCCTTCAATAGGCTTATACAATCAATGCTGTCCTGAGTGTACAAAAGACGGAAGTAGCGTTCGGATTTTGTAATATATTAGACCCAGGTGAACAGAGAAATGTGGACAATAGGTGGACGCTGATATGTATAACAGGAAGAATTTATAGACGCACTGGCAAAACAATGACTAGGGGTAAATAAATATTTGGAATTATTCAAAACAGGTGTTTGTTATAATACTGGTAGAAAACGGTAGTAAGGCATAAGACAACTTATGGTTTATAATCGAATATACAAGAGAGGAATTAATAAATACCGAAGCACGATAATTGGGAGATTATTGTATATGTTACCGGCAAACTATGAAATCCGGCAATGTATAGAATGCCTAAAGTCAGTAGGCAAAGTATGAAATTCAGGCATTCTATGGAATGCCCAGGCATTTTATAAAATGCCTAGAACTTTTAGCTAATGTATGAAACTAACAGTTTATTCTCTACTTTGCCTAGGTATTCTATTAGAACTTTTAGGCAAAGTATATAACAAAGAAGTTTCTATAATACGATTTATACAGTTTTATTTTATCTTTTATATTTGCAAAAACGTAATATAAAACATTTTTTTTAATTCTCAAAACTTTTCTTATGTTCAGATTCAGTAGCTTCTTATTTTCGCGACTATCTTGCACAACCTCCATCTTGACAGCTTACCCAATCGACTTTGATTAATTTTAATTTACACAACCAAGCAATATTAACATTACGATTTATTTCATACTTTGCCTACTGACTTTAGGCATTCTATACATTGCCGGTAACATATATATGAAGAAATGGGAATATGTGCATAGAGCGGATGAAAACAGGCAAAATATAGAATGTAATTTTACATAGTTGCCCACTCCCCCATCCTTCCCTTCTTCAAACCTCATATGAATCCCTCTGCTTCCCATCATCACCATTTCAGCCCTGAAGATGGGGACACGATGTTTCCCCGGAACGTTGGCATCTTCCTACAAGGCGCCAAAACACTGACGAACATCACCATCTCCACAGCCAATTAAATTAAAATTAAATTAAATTAAATCCGTGGCATAACAGCCCTCTGAGAGTCAAAGCCGACTAGCTGGCTGCTGGCCTCACGTTCTCATGCCTAAGCACAGGTGAACGATCATCTAACCAGATATAGGATGACGTGTGGTCAGCCATTGCTAGCTTTCCTGACCGGATTACGCTACTCATTGTAGCTCCCCAATTTCCCCACGATGCCGGGTTGGCACCGGTCCCATACACTGGTCGAAATCTCATGAGAAAATTTCTTCTCCCCCGAGACTCGAACCAGCGCGCATTCTGTATCACCGGTCTGAAGCATGATGCCTCAGACCGCGCGCCGAACATCTCAAATCCTCATCTATATTGAATTCTAGGTTGAAAGGCCAAGCTTCACACCCAAGCAAACAAGGGGTCAATTTATATTTACATTGCATATCTACACAAGTTTATGCTTGCAGGCCTACAGAGGGAGTGCAGCCGTTCTGTAGTCGGGTCGTGAGATTGCATTGTTCTGACCACCTTTTATTTTGATTCGATATTCAGTTACCGTGGATTTCATTGTAACGCACTTATCTGCTTGCCCGCTGCGACATATTTTCTTATCAACTTTTTACAAAGCGAGTTCTGTACAGAAGGGCCACGTGTGACAGGATTATTGTAGCAACATTAATCTCGCCAAGATGGCGCTGCGCGATACCAGTTTTGCGGACAAGAACGACATACAACGCATATCGCCGGAATAGATTGAGGGTGTATATCAGTCGCTTCAACACGTGGCACATATGCCATGCATGACACATCGTGTCCATAAAAATGGTACGTGAATACTTTTCAAGAAAATAATCTTTTTAAATTTATTTATTTAGCACATTTTTATCTTTGACAGATGTGTAATCATCTTTTCAATTATCATAATTTGTCCAAATACTTTGTAATAACATGATTTAAAGAATCCATTTGATCTTTACAGTTATAAATCATGCCGTCATGATGAGATATGGCGCCAGAATTTCGAATTTGAATTTCTTTTAACTCGCTGGAGTGGAGCAAGGGCTAAGGGCTCGGTAATGCTGGTAATACATTTTTTTTAGCTTTTGTCAAATGCAAACTTACAAATTACTTGAAGTCGTAAAAAATTACCTACACTAACACACTTGACTCAGTGACATTTCATATTTCTGACTTTGAGAAAGTAATACGCGATAGGGATTTGGTTTATCGCCACACGTCTACGCGAGCAAAGTGCTTGCAGATATAGTCGAGCTAAGCACGGATAATGAGACACAGAGACTGGAGAAACAACGCAGTTCATAATTTGTATTAATCACCCAATATTAATTGATCCAACTTAGCATAATCCTGTCTGGGAAGCTGACAGTCCCTCATTTTGTCAAGAAATTTATTTTATAGAACCCGTATGTCTATTGCTGTGTTCACTGAAGCCAGCCACTGAACCTTACACTAACACGACATGTTTATGTATGGTGGATTTAATATTATCCGTACCTGCGAAAATGAAGAAAGACATGTACACTGTTGACTGGAAAACCTGGAAAGAAGACAACCACTTGAGAAACTCGGGCCTTTGTGTAGATGGGAGAATAATATTGAAATAGATTCTGAATAAATAATGTGATAAGCTTCTGACCGGATCATAGCCGTTCTAAATAGTGTCCAATGGCGGACTTCTGTAAATAATGCAACGAATCTTCGGGTATAAGCAGAGTGCCCGAAGTGTTAGTGTGGGAAAACTCCACAAAGGTTTACACGCTTACAGATGCTTACCGATGTTCTATCGTACTTAGTCACCAGCTAACACCAGGACTCAAATCCGGGACAGGTATCTCGGGCTGGGGCCGTTGTCCCTGTAATCTTCCATCCGAAGCAGACAACTTTGTTTTTGGCGCCGTTCTGCTATTATTCTATCGTGCATCATTTCCGAACTGCAACTATAAACCATGAGCTATCTTCATTGAGGTACAAACAATTCTGGCAAATCTTCCCAAAGACAGAAAGTCGAAATAGGCAACGACAGTTCCCTGCCAAATCCTTACCTAATCGCCATTCACGATAATTTGTCTGTCTCGTTCAACGGAAAGGAAATTAATACACACACTAGCGAGAGGAGAAGGGGGCATGACTATTGTTAGCCATACGTAATAGGTGCGGTTTTATGGCCGAGACTCCCGTTAACAGCGTTACCATGGCAATGGTTATAATTACTTTAGTACAAACGTGACGGACATTGGCAATTACACGAGGAGTATATAGACAGATAGAGATCTTGATCAACTGAATAACAACATTTTCAAAATAAATCCTGTACCATGAAGCTCGATGCAGAGCTGGAAGGCCTTTTCCAGTTCTCAGGACATATGTAAAGCACATCAACCTCAACAGAATTTAAATAACGTTATGGTAAACACCTACATTTACATACATATTAACCATGTGAGTGAGATTTAAACTACAAACTGACGATAGTTTACTTACGTCTAAGCTCTAGAATGTCGAAGCTCATGTTAACAAATATGTGTAGGTTTAATTTGGAGTAAATATATTATTCCAACTTCGTTGCAATTTTCCACACATCCATTCGCCGTTGGAGCCCACTTGTTACAGATACAGACTGCTGATAATAAAGATATAATTTATTCATAGTTATACATTAGTTTTCATTGTGTTTTATAAAATATATATTGTTTTGTCAGAGCATCACTGTACATCCAAATTCCCTGCCATGAATAAATAGCAGCATGTCGACAGTGCTACCTTGTAAAATGGAAACAATATGTAATGGTTTTGAAATACCTACGGTAAAATATGGACGTTCCTGAAGACATTTCTTTGAGAAAGCGTAAATAGTAACTTTCGGGGTAATGAGTTTTTTCTGTTATTTCCAACGGCGTCATTCGTAAAATGTTAAATTTTCAGTTTTTGTTTCCCAGTGCCGGACTGTGGAAGCAAATAATTGTTTATTCACTTTGACGAAAGGTGTCAAACTGTTTTAGTCTATCTCAGGATGGTTGAAATTTTTGTCCCTCGAGGTAAGATGGTTTTTTGTTGGACCCTAGGGGCAATAAAAGCCTCCTGGCACTATTTTTGGAAATCAACAGCATATGTTCATTATCTTCAACAACACTTATTCAGATAATACAAATTACCACAGTAGGCATATATCCTCAAATGCAAACTTTATTACAATATTCACAAACTATTATAGATTTTCTGCATACTATTTTAAATTTGCTCCTGCGACAGCTTGTATCAGTCACAATTTTTACCTGGAAAACGTACTTTTTACGGTAGGGTTCAAAAGTAGATAGAAGGCATGTGTGGCACTTGTACGTGAAGCAGCAGACGAGGTAAGAATCATGACTGTTTCAAATCCTTCGGAGTAAAGAAAACAAATGAGCTTGCAGCAACTCGTAACAAATTAACAAATAACTTCTCGGGTCTGGTTACAAGTGGTCTCAGGCTGAATGTGGCCCGCGGCCCGCCAGTTGGTCCACACAAGGTATACAGAATGAAACATTGCAGCAACAAGATCTACTTTTGTTTGTGACATACAACACTCTCGCACTGTCTCCTCTGTACACAACATGGCGCGTTATCTGGACCGGCAAACAAACCTCATCTGTCGAAAGGGACAGAATTTTCGGCTGTGGAATGGTGGAGCAGAGATGAGATTCAGTTTTTGTCAACCGTAACCTCCCATTCGAAATCGATGAAGAGTGGTTAAATAAATGAATGGATAAGAAAGGAATAAAGATCATGCAAGACAGAAAGTAAAAAATAATAAATAAAGATCACAGAGAATATAAAGAAAAGGAGAGTGAAAGACAATGTAAATCAGTAAAAGATCGTGGAGCTGAATAGTCTTAAAATGGGTTTGGGGGGGGGCACAGATAATCAAGTTATCAACAGAAAAGGATAACAATATTTTAAATAATATATGAGATAAGAGGTTCTCACGACGGTGAAGAAGATGGAGGTAGCATGTTCCTCAGAGACGCTGATATCTATCTGCAAGTTCACAGGGCGTTACAATCAAGAAGACCAACATCGACATATCGAATTTAAATCTGCACATAAACTGTGGTTGTGGAATACACACTCCATATCGGCTCGTGTTTATTGTCATGACGTCGTCGTCGGAACCTTAGGGAAGTTTCTATCTTAGAGCAAAATCTGTTGTCTAAATGAAGGCATTTCCCTCATTATGAAAGGGGCTTTACGAACCTCAACAAACGCCGAGTGGTTAGAACTCAAGCTTCATATTGGGGAGGTCCCGGGTTCAAATCTAGGCCCGGAGACCGCCTATCTTGACTGACGTTTTCTGGTTTTCCTCAGTCCCTTCAGGCAAATGCCGCGATATTAGACCACGACTCCTTCCTTCCACATCCTTTCCAATTCATTATTTACTAGCATCGTCTCATTCGAAGCTATATAGTCTGTAAAAATGAAAGCATTGTTAAATATGAAAAGTATATAAAAAGGAAATCAAAATGTGCCCTCAAATCTGATAATTAATACATTTGCCAAGTTGCTGGAAGGGCGTAAATGACTGGCAATTAATTCACAGTTGGTAGCAAATCCTAGGAATGGTTCCGAGTCAGATAAGTAGTCTTAATGTTTATTTTTACTGTTACTAACCATATTACTGAATCTGTTTCTGTTATCATCTGAAAGAAGTACTGGAAAAAGTGGAGTACCAATATTTTCTTTACCACTTTGTAGGCTATCCCTCACTGGCCTTCTTGCTTATTAAAAACTGGTACATCTCTAATGTTGCAAAACTAATAGACTAAAAAGGTACTACAAATACCACATCACAGACCGTCACTACTTATTTATCATATTTACTTAAATATACACACAACTGAAAAAGGCTTCAAACAAAAGTCGTAAATATTAATGAGGTTTAGCCTAAATTTCATTTTGTAGACGACGACTTTTTATTTTTTATTTATTTTACAACAGTGGAAAGTTGTATTCCTAATTTGAGAACACATGCAAATTCTTTCAAACACCTTCTTTGCGATTTAACGTACCTCACTGGTGTTGATGTTTATTTATTGGAAATACAAATTTATTATTGGAGGTACAGGTACGTTTTTCCACCCAGACGAAATTCTCTCCCCCCCTCCCTCCACCCGGTCATTATAGATCAGGAATTTAATTGCATTGGCTAGAGAAAAGTGTCGGCTACTTAAACCTTATAGATTTTTCAAGAAAATTAGTGGCGTAACTCAATTCAGATTTCAACAGTTAATCGTTGTATTTTATTAAATACCACATCGAAAAGTGATTCAGTTATAGACCGGTGAGTATTACACTCGTACATGAACAGAATATTTGTACAATAAACGACTTTAGAGATAATCAATCGAGTTCGTTGTGTGCTTCATGTAATTTAAAGCTTAAACATGATCGGCAGGAGCCAAAATTGTGTTCGACAACTTTTCGTGTAAACCCCACACCAAATTTGATCGAAAATCCGATAAAAAGTGTCGGAGAGTTGATGCATACAGACGGGACAGACAAAATAAGATCTACAAACACACTGAGCAAAGAACCCACGAAAATTACAAAAAGTTGCTCTCCCTACGAAACAACAGCTTTCAGCATTAACCTTCCGATGTTAAATGTAATCGAACTCCGTCTTGTAATTTGGAAGAAGAAATATGTTAACAGACAGACGAACGAGACTAACGTTTCTGCGTTTGGCAGGTTATTGCTACTTATTTTTCATTTTTCATGTCTAATGATGATTGCCGTCAGAATAAACCCACCTGAAAGTTTCATAGTTGGCTGGGTGGGAGGCTAATTTGTCCCCGTTCCTACAAAATGGAGTGGAGATAAAGCTCCTCGCATTCATTGCTTAGATGGAAACTTATCTCTATTGACTTCCTCCTTTTAAACAGTAAATACGTGGATCTTCACCTCTCAAACCCCTTTGCCTTTATGGAACACTCACCCAGACAAGCACTGAAGGCGCATTCCAATACTATCAGTAAAACAATAATTTACGTAGCTTACAAGTTAGGTTAATTTTATACAATATTTCAGTATATTTTTAGCGCGGTTATAGGCCCAGTCACATATGACAATATTTAACCCGCTGTTGTGAAATTTACCTCATATTTCAGAAAATATTTTCTCTGCAAGACAGGTTTACTATCTGTTAGTTCAGGTGGACAATGTGCTTTATAGGTGAGATTCAACCTTCTCACTACGGCGAGTAAGAAGATTACTTGTCTTCTGGGATGTTGCGTCTTGTAGTCTGTTTCAGAGATGCTTGCTGCCTCCAACATCAGGGCAACAAGCACCTCTGAAACGTCGGTAAACGTCCACAACAATACACGGCGCAGCATTCCAGAGTATTATGTTCAATGTGTTTTATTTAGTTACTGCTTCGTCATAAGCGGTTTAACTTTGATTCTGCATTAGCAGTTGTTTGAAAGGAAACATGACACTTTATATCTTTCTATGGAATTAATTTATGTTTATGTAGTAAAAACCATTTTTAAAAGTTAATTTTCGATAATATAGGCAAAAAATAACGTGTCCAAAGAATTCATCGTAAATTCGAAGATTGCTGTCTTCTGGGTTGCACCGTGCCAAATTTTCAGAGGTTCTTGTTGCCTCCATCATCAGGGCGATGCTCATCGGCCTGATGACCACACTAGACGACCATACAGCCGCGAAAACCTCAAATTCTACATCGAAACTTTTGTGTCCAGTTTAAGGAAACGTCAAAAGTTTTGCCGAGAGCTTCTTTAAAAGTATCGTGGTGTTCGCTGCTATTAAGAGGATTTCAGTGAAAAATTCTTAATTATATCTCATATAGTTCCAAAGTTATGATAAATATAGTATTTTAGAGCAAAATTTAAAGGGACACTAAGAAAGTATTACCCCAGGATGAACACAACCTCGGACTTTAAATCTCCGCGGCAAAGGGTTAAACGGGCAATTGAACAGGTACTTGGTCCATATTAAGATTTGCGGGCTAATGGGGTTAATGGCTATGTCGTTAAAGAACGCTTTAAAGCGAACCTGGTCTGGGATTAGTCAATGATGCATGCGTTTCCGACTTTCATTACATCACTGGGCCCACAGGGGTGACCATCACAAATAAAAAACAGCAAAATGAACACACTAGTTCACTAGGACCTTGTTTTGACGTCCGTACGCTTACACTGCTTTTATTATTCTTGTTATCAAACTATTCATGATTGTGTATTAGAGTTATGAGAAAGAATGCAGAGTTGGCAAGCCGTGGTGAAGTCCCTTTGAACAAGGAAGTGATTATAATGTTAACGTGTAATCTCTTTAGAGGAGGAGACCAGGTGGGACCCTCGTGCGTAGTCTCTTGAAGGAATGAGACCAGCGAGGAATTTTTATATGAAAGTCTCTCGAAGGAGAGAGACCAAATTTATATTACAAGCGAGTTTCTCTGTAAAAGAAACTACTAAATAAACATACTGAATTTTAAGTGCAGCTGTAACTCTATTCTACGTTCTTTCCCCGTGAGCGACCCTGAGTTAGCTGGAGTATAATCGAGAGAAAGTGGACGGTTATAATATACAGTGGATTTCGGTTAATTGAGACACATCGGGACTAGAACATTTTGGCGCAATTAAGCGGCTGCCCCAATTATGCCAAGTTCCATGTAAAGAGTTAAAAAGGTTTGTTCTTTAAGATTTGTCCCAAATAAAGGTCTACCCCGATTAACCGATGGCCCAATGAACCGGAATCTACTGTATATAATTTATTTTCGTGGCGCTACAGTCCTTGAAGGCCTTGGCCTCCGCTCACATTGAAGGTTGTTTTTAGGATATCTGGTAGGATTCCTCGGCCGAGACGCCCGCGGTTCCAGTGTCCGAGTTATCAAGGCCCACGCCCTAGACCGCGTGGCCACTGTGACCGGCGTATCTAGGAAATTATCATATTTTTATTGTGTAGTCCGCGAAACAACATGGAGAGATGTATAATCACAACAAACACGTTATAATACAAGGCCTATATGAGATTTATTTTCACGGCAGTAAAAATTAACATTTAATTGTAGGTGATTTTCAACGTTTCGGAGGAACATTTTTCTTCCGTGTTCAAAGTCTGCTTACCCTACTTCTGCCTTGAAGAAGGAAATAACATTTTTCTCCATAACATTGAAAACCATCTACACATCTGCAGATTGTGAACTTTGGTTCGAGTACGATATTCGTTCATAAACCCCCTGAAGTTCTTGTATTCATAAGAATTTCTTCAGTATTGTCCTAAATAATAAACGACAGTCTTCAAACTGATTAGTACGTACGTTTGCCGCCACCAACCGTGGCTAAGTTACTTTATTCAGAAACCACGTATTGATTGAAATCACCGCATGAAATCTCTCTTACCATAGTAATCCGTTAGTTACAGCTTCATTGATGATGCACAGACAAATTACGTCAGTGATTACTGAAGCATATTCCGCGAAACTTATCCTAAGCAGTCCTTAATTACAACCATAAAACTGCAAGGTAGTTTATCTATAAACTCCGTTTCCATTCTCCCCACAACGTGAAGGTCAAATTGCCGTTATAAAGAAGACCAAGAATGTAACCACTAATCGCTGGTACATAGTAGCTCTATATTCAAGTACGTTGCCGACTAGGACATGCAATGATTTTTTTTCCGTGTCCAGTACACAGCATTCAGCATGGTGTGCATTGGTAGTTAGCAGGATTCGATCGGGACCGCGACATTTAACGCTCCTGCTGTGACTCCCTTTTTGCGAGATGATGATGAAAGTGGAGTAATTGTTGGGATGCCACGGAGAAACCGTGATACCTAGACCACGGCCTTGCCCAACACAACTTGTAAATCTGAGCACCGCCGGGATCGAATCCGGGACCCCAGTATCACAAGCCCAGCGTTCTAGCCGCTAGACCACCGTGGCGGATGAGGCGATGATGATGGAGACAGAAAGCACTTCTGAAACGTCCGTAAACTTCTACCAGAGGACACGGCGCTACAACCCAGGAAACAGCCATCTTCTGAATTAGAGCAGTGAAAAACTCAAATCCTACTACATGTAAAGTGGTTGTCTTTTTGACTGATATGAACCGAAATTAAATTCACCCAATAAATCGTGTTGAAGATTCCATATTAAATTTTAATTAAAATTCGTTCAGTAATTTTGGAAATGAAACATGAGGGCAGACCGATGGACACGACTTCTTATAATGTGGTAACTTTGTGTATTTTGCGCTATAAATACACAAGAAGCGTGAGAAGAAGCCTTATCTTTCCTTACATAGATGCAGACTCGGCCAATCGTGTAAGGCCAAAATTACGTGTTTCTTATTGTTTGAGTATGTGTCAGCATCGTGAAGGGGGCAGTCGGGGCCGGACCCTGTAGTTATCTGCTGCACCCAAGGCTCCAGTTGCGATAATCCGCATTCCT